GGACTTAAAACAGCAGCAGCCAGAACGCTGAGCAGGGATGCATCATTTAGGTGACATTTAGAACACAGACTGATATGCACGTGGAGGATGGGGAACAGGAGTATGATTTCAGTTGTTAGCTAGAGTGGTAAAGTGAATGAGAATGCCACCGCCAAAGCTGAGGAACAGGGGTAGATGAGGAGACGCTGCTCAGGAAGGAAGGGGCTGGGCCATCAGGAAGGCCCGATTATACTGGACTGGCTGACCTGGCGGCACCTGTCACTGGGAAGCATCTGCAGCTTGGGAAGGAGATGACTAGAAAAATAAATCTGGGTCATTGTTGTATAGATAGGAGCTGAAACCATGCGAATGGATGAGGAAACAGCTGGCAATGAAACCCTTGCTATATACTATGATACTATTTAAGGGGTAAGTGAACTTATGGGACAGCCACTTGATAGAGTTTCCCACAGTCCATTAATGTTGATCATAATGAAGACCATGAGGTAGTGTGGAAAAGTGCAAAAACGTCACAGCAGTCATTTGACCACGTGCAGGGGCTCACATCTGTAATCCCAGCACTTTGGGAGGCCGAGGCGGGCGGATCACTTGAGTCAAGCGTTCCAGATCAGCCTGGCCAACATGGTGAAACTCCATCTCTACTAAAACTACAAAAATTAGCCCAGTGTGGTGGTGTGTGCCTGTAATCCCAGCTACTTGGGAAGCTGAGGCAGGAGAATTGCTTGAACCCAGGAGGCAGAGGTTGCAGTGAGCCGAGATCATTTCACTGCACTCCAGCCTAGGCAACAGAGCAAGACCCTGTCTTTAAAAAAAAAAAAAGATCAAAGCAGACATTTAACATACACAAATCTCAAAGGCATTAAGAAGGAAGCCAGAGACAAAAAACAGCATACTTTATCTTGCCATTTAAATGAGATGCTAGTTCAGACAAAACCTTTGATGATAAAGGTTAGGTGAGTGTTTGCTTCTGAGGGAAGGGGTAATCCATGTGAAATGGCATGAGACAATTTTCTGGGATGACAGAAATAATCTATGCCTGAAAAGAATGTAGGTTTTAGGAGTAAATGTCTGTCAAAACTGATGTAGTAATAAGCATTCCACTGTATGAACATTATCCCTTCATTTAAATAATTATAGTATAGTTGTATATATTCATATAAACTAAGAATGGGGACTATGCAAATAAAGTTATGTCAGGGTGCTAGAGCTACGGGCTGTTTTCTTCTCACTTACAAATTTTAACTTTCATGCACTGTTCCTAAAAAAAAATTTTTAAACTTCAAATGCCAAAAAATACTTACCAATTACCCAAGAAAACAGAACACATATTACACTATTTTTCCATAGGAAGCAGAAAAGAATCTCTACAATTACAGACTTTATACCTTACAGAGAGGTAAGGTATAAAGAAAGTGACAAAAAAACACAACAGACAGTAAATACGTCAATGCAGAGTATCAAAGAATCACTGGACCAAACGGACCCTCCTAAGAGTTTTTGCAGAAGCAAAGTACCAGTCCTTCCATGAAAGTGTGAAAAAGTACAAAAAGGTCACAGCAGACATTTGACCACGTGCAGCGGCTCACATCTGTAATCCCAGCACTTTGGGAGGCTGAGGCGGGCGGATCGCTTGAATCAAGCGTTCCAGACCAGTCTGGCCAACATGGTGAAACCCCATCTCTACTAAAAATACAAAAATTAGCCCAGTGTGGCTCAGACAGCAGATACACACAGGCTGCACTGGAGGCTAGCTGGCTTCACTTGGTGGTGTAGGATGCTGCCAGAGTGAGAGTGAGGGGGAGAGAATGGGAAGTCAGTGGCTGGTGGGGACAGCTGGAGGCCGTTAGGTTCGGAAGGTGGAAAGCACAGACTCTTCCTGGGTGTCGGTGCTCCTGAGTTTATAAGCAGTCCTTTTTCTTTGCAGTTTTTAGTAGTCTGGGTATTTTGTCTCAATTTTCATAGAGAAGGCGAAGAGAAATCACTCAATGGGAGAGTGACACCTACCCCCATCGCCCCACCCCCATTATTTTGGAGGGAAAAAGTGGATGCTTTGATGATGGTGATGGTGGCAGCTCTCTTTTCCTGAGTTGCTGTGGGCCAGGCACTATGCCACTGCTTCACATGCATTACTGTTTTATTCAAGCTCCACAATAACCCAGCAAAATGCATGCTGATTTCTTATCACCAGTGAAAAAATCATAAAGAAGTTAGGGAACATCCAACTAGGAGTGGATGGACAAAAACCTAGGTTTTGACTCCACACACCGAACTCTACTGGATTAGGAGAATACTGATGAGGTCTCATTTCCATTTGAGTGTGAAGAACCTGTCGATGGAGATTTCTAATAATATTTGGTCTAATGACTATTCTTTTCTGTAGCATAGAAGATGTCCTCATGAAATGGCCAATGTGGTTAATTACTACACAGATGTAAAGCTGCATACATCCTAATACCTATTATTTCATAGCAGTTAACACTTGGTGCTAGATGCTTTTCAATGCATTACCTCATGTAATCCTCACAACCACCCTTGGGGCAGACAATTATCACCGCCATTCTTACCGAGAATGAAATTGGGACAGAAGAGATACAAAGTGACTTGTCCTAAGTCACTCAGTTACCAGAGATCTGGACTCGGACAGTGTGATAACATGAGCCTGACCACTTTACTGCCTCAAATTTTAAAGCTGAGGTCTCAACTTTGCTGCGTAAAACCATCTCAACTCACACTGAAACTAACAATCCATCCTGCAGCCTTGAAAGGGTTTCCTGCACCGCTTCATCCCAAGTGTTTGTAGGTTTCGCTTCCCTCCCCTTACAGAACCAAAACGGGAGAAGGGCTGCCATAAGATGTATGCCTGATGCAACAGCGGCAATGACACATTCCCTAAGAGGCCAGTGTTGGGTGAGGGATCTGGACAGGCCACCCACTATACCAACACTCTGGCGGCAGAGAAGCAGCACGCCAGGCAGCCTCCTTGTCACGGACGGAAAGGTGACAGTGGGCAAAGACGGTTACAGCTATTTCCTGTCAGGCTACTTGACTCACTGGAGGTGCTGAATCCCTGGGCCCCAACTGCAATCACTTAATTGTGCTATCCACTAAAATGTAAAAAGAGTAGCCTGCATTCAAGCGGAGTGAATGGCAACAGTGTTCCATTCTCATTTCTGCCTTGTCTTAGGAGAGAGGCTGAAACGTGAATCTCTAGATAGGCTCACCTCCACTTCCACTGGGTTATAATGAACTCTGGAACACACACACACAAAAGGCCTCTTTCCTGATCTTCACACTCTCTATTAGTTACATTATTTAAGGCATGGACAAAGTGAATTGCGTTGGTCATTTAGGTAATCATAAGGGCAGCTGTCAAGTCAAGTCACATGGCAGAAAGCCTGCCAAGTCTGAGAGCTGGGCTGTCTCTCAGCTGGGGTTTCCTTGAACTGTTTCACCAGAACTCTCAAGTCTTTGCGATTCTGAAGTTTCCATCTGTGTTAAAATTACTTTTCCATAAAGAGGACTTCATTTCCACAGCCTAAAATAAGATCAGGACTGATGTCTTGGCTAGGTATTAGGAATCTGGACGGTTAGTCAGGGATTTGGCCTCGCCTCCATTGGAAGGGGAAAAGGGAAGAAAAATGCAGACAGTCTTAAAAAAAAAAAGACAGAGTCTTGCTCTGTTGCCCAGGCTTGAGTGCAGTGGCACAATGATAGCTCACTGCAGCCTCAAACTCTTGGGCTCAAGCAATCTTCCCACCTCAGACTCCCAAGTAACTGGGACAGCAGGAACACACCACCATGCTTGGCTGATTTTTAAATTATTTTTTGTACAGTCACGGTCCTGCTATATTGCTCAAGCTTGTCTCAAACTTCTGGCCTCAAGTGATCCTCCCACCTCAGCCTCCCAAAGCACTGGGATTACAGGTGTGAGCTACTGCACCCAGCCCAGAGAAAAAGTCTTGTCCCCACATTCACTGCCCTTTGATTTTTGCCCTGGTGAAGGTGAAAGAATCAAGAGTGTTCAAATCCAGCAAATCAGATTGGCAGTGTTTAAACTCTGGTCTTGTCCAAAAGAGAAATGGGCAGTTTCTCCTAGAGTTGGGTGAACACAATTTGCTTCTCTGGTTGTTACCTTGCGTTATTCATCCAACATACCTGGGCATATTTTGGTGGAGACTGTAACATGTGCAGAAAGCTGCAAGGGCAAGGAAATCAGCCCTTGGGCGATCAGCTCCAGATCTGGCTGAAGCTGAAGCAGGAAGGTGATTCTCTAGGCAGAGAAGCCCAGGGCAGAGAGAGGAACCCCAAAGTGGTCAGTTTACTCCAAGATGGGAGCCGATATAGAAAAGGCAGCGTCGTCTCTGTTCCATGAACCCTAAGGACTTCCAGGAGGGACTGGAACTAAAATAAGAGTTTAGCCTGTAAACTGCAGAGCTGGGTGGTGAGTGTTGCAGACATGGGCTCCCTGTGGAGCGGGGAGGTGATTCACCATCGGTCCCCTCCAAATAGTAAGATTAGCACAGAATGTGCCTTTTTCAGACAGGTAGTCCTAATGGACAGCAGCCTTTCAACTTCATACTGACTACTCATAAACCATCCCTTGGAAGTATAATGTATTTACTGTTACCAAGAGGGGAAACTTTCACTCTTCTCACAAGAAAAGTGGTTCCGGGGGGGAAAAAAAAAAGACAACATTATTTCACAGGAATTCACACAATTACAAAAATAATTCTGTCCCTCTTTTCAGCAATAGAAATGTTTTGCTCATCAGAAGTTCTGCTAGGCTTAGATCAGTGCCAGGAATTCTGTGAAGTGGAGGTCAAGCTGCCAAGGTTCAAAAGAAATGTCGATAGTAAGTATTTGCACAGATACCAGGGAGGGAGTGCTAACAGCTCCCAGCATGCAACTCCAGCCACACTGCAGACAGGACAACCACATTTTCCAGTGTTCTCCTTGTCGCATAAAATTTAACAACAACAACAACAAGAAAAAGCTCTTACCTAGCTCTCCCCGGAGGTTAACAAGTTCTTGAGATAGGGTTTTGTGTTGTTTCAGCGCTTCCTCCCGCTGCGGAAAACACACATCAAGTTACTAATGTTTTCAGGAGAGTCCCCTTCAGTAAGGTACACATTTGTTATCACTAGGAAATGAGACCCAGGATTGAAAAGCCAAGATATGAATCATTTAGGCTAACAATTTGTGTTATTGAAAGAAACACGGTTGTCCCTTCGTTGTTAAGGAAATTCGTATTTGAAAAAAATCTGTATTTTCGCAGGTCCCAGTGAAACTTTTGTTTGAGGCAGTGAATGCCCTATTTAGAAATATTTACTTTAAGCCAGGCTTCACTGCTGATCCATAGGAGCCTTTCGGCTAATGCATACTGTACTTAAGACGTAATGCATTCTCCTCCTCCAAGGGCAATAAACATCTAATCAGTTTAAGATAAATATTTAATGTTATAAACATAGGCACATATATGCACTTTGTCCCATATTTGCAAATAAAAAAGTTTTGTTACAATGCCAATCCTTCTAAAAGAAAGACAAGTTTGTTATAAAGCTAGAAAGATAGTCCTTTAAAGAGAAAACTAATTTTTTCAGCTCCGTACCATTTTCTAAGGATTATGATATTTTGGATCAGTGATCATTCTAAATAGACGTTAGAAAAACAAACCAAAGAAAACCAGATGGCTGTTTTTAGTATTAGAGAAGCAATGATCAACCTTGAGGTAAAGAATAATTTTCAAGTTACCAGCAACTCACAGCAATCACACATACACACATACTTACACAAATACAGTAATTACATACAGTTCCTTAAAAGGTAGATTCCCTAGCACCAGGGCGTAACTAAAAAAAAAAAAAAAAAAAATGAAGAATTTCAAAGCTGGCTAAAAAATGCCCTCACAAGGATCACCCAAGACGGAGCTCCCACCGCATCCTGATCACAGCCTTGCGGAGATCATGAGGCCCGGCCTTTGCAGGCAAGAGTTGCTTGTCATTCAAAGCATTTTCCCGGAATTCCAGACAGCCTCTGCAGTAGTCCCTGACATTCTTCCAGAAAAGCACTATAAACAAATACTAATTACCCTTGTTGCTGCACATGGAGAATAGAGGCACATTTTGCTGCTGGGGCAGCCCATTTTCCAGCTTCTGTCTCCAAGTCTCCCCACCCCTTGCACTGTCCAAGAAGCATACAGGTGGCTGTGCCACCCACCAGTCGGGTCTGTCTACATTCAAAGCTCTAGCAGGAGGCTCGCCATTGGCCCTCGGGTGTCTTACTTCATGTCCTGCAGGTTACCATGCGCCTCGGATCCCTCTCTCACAGAAGCTGATACTGCAGCTTCTGCCTTTGGCACAGGCAGCCTGCGATTACTTAAAGCCACAGCCTTTCATTTATGAAAAACGAGAGCCAGGCATTAGACTGATCGATTGCCACTTAGTTAAATATCAGCTGCAAAGAGGGAAAGAAAAACTAACCCTCTCTGCTTGGATAATGGAGTTATTTTTAGACGTTGTGAGCCTTTTTCCTCCCCTCTCTAATTGAGGTCATTAGATGATCACACTTACTAATAGAAAAGGGAAACTTGTTCTTCAAAACCCATATACTAAATGAGGTTATGAACTAGGTGAAGGGCAGGGAAAGGGGCGTGCTGTCGTTTGGCATTTTAAATGACATTATGAAATGAGCGGTGTTTCAAAATCAGTCCTAAGCGCTCATCTGAGAGTTGGAGATCCCATGTATTTCTAACTTCTGCTTTGTTCCCACCTCTCAGTAAGAGCTAAGGCAAGTCTAAATGCCGGCACTGAAACATGGGCAACAGGAACTGGGATTTAAGAGACACTTTGCACTGAGTACCTTTCAGCCTCAATGGTATTCTAAATGCTTGGTTTTTAAAAACATGGTATTAAGTTGTTCTGAAATCGCCAATCAATGAGTCTGAGTTTTTAAAATTAATACGTGGTTTTCGAAAGTAGGAATTAAAGTTTGAGGAAAATCAGCCTGCATAATAGAAGAAAAAAATATGTATCATATATACTTCTTCTAATATCATAAATTTAAGTCTCAATTTCGTTTAGTAATCTACTTCAAGTAAATACCAGGAAGTTCTGTCACTCAAGTAACAGGAAAAACAAGACAGCTTTACTAAATACCCACAAGCAATCCTGAAACTCATTTGGTAAACTGGCTTAAAATGCTCCTTTCAGTAGCAGCCAAGTTGCTAATAGAAGGAAGAGATGGAAAGAAAATTAAATCATTATTCAAATTTATGGAAACTAATGGGAAGATGAAAAAAAAATCAGAAATTACAGCTAGTATAATTTCAAAGAATAATTTTGTGAAAACGTTATGTTCTATTGCAAAAACCCGCCAGGTGACATTTTTGCTTATTCAAAGAGCTTTTTGGGAAAGGGAGTTTCACTAAGCATGCGCACAATTCCCCAAGCTTCTCCTCACTGCACTCCACGTTCCTGTCCTTAATACCTCAGAAACCACCCACATCTTCCAACCTCTGTCAGTCACAGTAACAGCAACAGGAAAACTCTGAGGTTATCTGTTATTCTTTGTCTAAATGGGTGGTGCAAAAATCAGTTGGTTCTTCTTTCGTAAGGTGTCCTGAATCCATTGCACTTTTTCTATTAGTGTTACCTCTGCTGTAGTCCTGATCCTAGCCCATTCCTGGACTATACGAAGTATTCCTTCACCTTTCAGAGGGCTGTTAAATTATTAGTCCATATTCTACGTACATATAAACTCACTTGCTCACAAAGAGCCTTTTAAGTGTATTCGAAATAAATTTTAAAAAACCACTTCACCATAGTTCCGCGGACTTGAAGCATTTAGCCTCCCCTGTAGCCTCCCGGCCTCTCTCATGAGCAGGTCACACAGACCACGCATACCTCACCTCCACAGTCTTGTCAACACCACCCTCTCTGGAATGCAGGGCTTTTCTTTATTGGCTCACATAAACCTTCTGGGAATGCTGAATGTCATAGACACCATCCCCTCCCCCAAATGCACAGAAAGACCATTTACCCTTCTAAATCTGTTGCTAACTTATTACTTCAAACTAATTAACCAAGCATTTTTCATAGCAGATGCTGTGAAAATATGAAAGAAATGTAAGACACAGTCCCTGCCTTCAAGGTGTGTGGGACCTACCTAGAACTAAAACATCCAGGCCCAATTCTTTGGTCATCTGTCAAGACAGATGACCTCGTTGAAGGGGAAGAAGTAATGAAAATAACCAAGTGCTTTAAGTATATAATCCACAGGTGAAATACTGACCCCAGTGCTCATACTGTAACAGACACATACTAAGTGTACTAAGTGTTAGTTTCTGCCTGACTCTCCCTGGTAGCATGGCCTTTACATATATACTTACCCTTTACTTGTAGATGATAAAATGCATTTAATGTCCCTTAGATACTGATGTACTGTTTCTTTTTACTCAGCTGCTCCTAGATCAGTGTTTCTGTCTGAGATGATAAACTCTTAACCGTCCAGATAACAAGCTGATTCCATTCTCTTTGTACTGTAACATGCAGAATTTCACACAATGTGAAAAGAGAGAAAAGTAGGAATCTGGATGGGAAAATGCCTTTATGCTCATGCATTAAATATATGAAATGCTCCAAGAAAAAAAAAAATGGATTCACCATAATTGAATTAGGAGTCCCTGGGACACAGGCACTTAGTCTCTGGCTGTGGTCCCATCGGTGTGGCTGCATTTTTGCTAGCCACTGAGTAGCATCAACAGCACAGGGGATCTTGCAGAGAAGAGCCACATCAGACAGCTCAGACCTGTGCTGCATATGACCTCCTCCCCATCACACAGCGAATTTGCTCAATGCATTTACATTTTTTTGTTCTCAGACAATTTTACTGCTAGTGTCATTCAAAATTCACCCTTTTTAAGGTGCTACTTTAGGTTAAATTCCACTTCCAAAAAATAAAAATAAAAAGATTTGGAGGCCCTTTGAAGAATCACTCAGAGGTTTGCAGAGGGTGACTTCAGTCCTGTTCAAGCTTACCTAGAAGCCTACCTGTATAACCTTTTATGAAGAAACTGAAATTACTACCATCAATACTGTTGATCACTTTGGCTATCTGTGCAGAATACTGTCTAAGCAAGGATAAACCAAGAACTAGAAAAAACTAAAGTAACATTAGTGTGTCTTTTGAGAAACAAAGAGTGTTACATTAGTTCCCAGATTCATGAGACATTAGAATGCCTAAGTGATGAAATATGCCTGCCACTTAAGTGGGAAACTTACACCTATTAAACAGACTTGCAACAAAAGGGTAAGTGATAGTTGCAAGATTCTCTTAATCAACCACTTTTACCCATAATCCAAGGTTCTACCGCCATTTAGAAAGAAAAGTTTAGCTATAATAAAATATAAACACACACACACACACACACACACACACACACAATACCTATATATTATACATATATAAAAATCCATAGACATGCAATGTCTATGTATTATATCATGTATATAAAATATAGAAACACATTGTATACAGATACAATATGTATATATTTTATATACATTGTGTGTGTGTGCGCACGCACACGTGTGTGCATATATATATACACACAGTATATATTCTTCTGTAATGGGAATGAGAACTAAAAGGTGATGGGAATTTTTAAAATTGCTTAACTTTGCCCATGATTTTGTTTCTCCGACTGTTTCATTTTTATTTTATTTATTTATTTTTTGAGACAGGGTCTCACTCTGTCACCCAGGCTGGAGTGTGGTGGAGCAATCCTGGCTCATTGCAACCTCTGCCTCTTGGGTTCCTGGGCCTCAGCTTCCTGGGTAGCTGGGACTACAGGCACATGACACCACACCTGGCTAATTTTTCTATTTTTTGGTAGAGGCGGGGTTTTGCCATGTTGGCCAGCCTGCTCCTGAACTCCTGACCTCAAGTGATCTGCCTGCCTCAGCCTCCCAAAGTGTTGGGATTACAGGTGTGAGCCACCACACCCAGCCTCCAATTGTTTTATAATAGTACTCAGCATACATTACACAATTAGTAAATATTTGCTGATTATAAAATAAAGAGAGCAAAGAACATGTACATAAGACTTTATGCTCATCCTACATCTGGAATTCCATCTACTCCGTTCATACGTTCCCTCACATATACATTGTGTTGTCTATTAGAGCTGCTAAGGTGGTTTCTTAAGAAAGAACTAGATGCAAATCCTGCCCTCAGTAAACTTGCTATCTTAAAAAAGCAAAAACAAGCATTAAACCGCTATCTCTAATGTAACAGAGAGAATGAAAGAGAAGCATATGTGCTCCTGGAATCCAGAGGTGGACAGAACATAGATCTAGAAAGCCAGGAAATCATTCATTAAAGACTGAGTTCTGGACTGGGTGTGGTGGCTCACACATGTAATCTCATCACTTTTGGAAGGCTGATGTGGGTGTATCACCTGAGGTGAGGAGTTCAAGACCAGCCTGGCCATCATGGTGAAACCCCATTGCTACTAAAATTACAAAAATTAGCCGGGTATGGTGGTGGGTGCCTGTAATCCAAGCTACTCAGGAGGCTGAGGCAGAAGAATTGCTTGAACCCGGGTGGTGGAGGTAGCAGTGAGCTGAGATTGCATCACTGCACTCCAGCGTGGGTGACAAGAGCAAGATGCTGCGTTAAAGGAAAAAAAAAAAAAAAAAAAAAAAAGAAGGTGGATTCTGGAGTTGTATTCAGTGGAGTCAGAATTCCTTGGGTATCCAGACCTAACTTTAGGTGTAAGGTGAAATTCACACACAGTGCAACTGTCTGGGAAAATCACTAAGAACTTGCCATGCTGTGGACAGACAATGCGTCTCTCTGTAGATCCAACCCACTGAATTTTTCCTCTAGTGTTGGATCTACTCTTTCTCTAACTGAGCACCTGATAAAGGCCTTGGGTTGTGTTTAGGGGCCAGGTTGTATGAGGGAAAAGTATCTTTAATCACTAAGATTGTAGAGAGTGTATAGAAGGCTCATGTCACAGGAGGTGTTGAGGAACTGAGCAGACGCCTGAAGGAAGAGACAACTCCTGACCTTCGTCTCAAAGACTCCTGGGCTAGAAGGGCACACAAGGTAGACTTGTGTTCTTCATTTAATTTGCATTTTCCTTTTTTTTTTTTTGGGATGGAGTCTTGCTCTGTAGCCCAAGCTGGAGTGCAGCGGCATAATCTTGGCTCACTGCAACTTCCACATCCTGAGTTCAAGCGATTCTCCTAGCTCAGCCTCCTGGGCGGCTGAGACTACAGGCACATCCCACCATGCCCGGGTAATTTTTGTAGTTTTAGTAGAGATGGGGTTTCACCATATTGGTCAGGCTGGTCTCAAACTCCTGACTTCAGGTGATCCTCCTGCCTCAGCCCCCTAAAGTGCCGGGATTACAGGCATGAGCCACTGCGCCTGGCCTGCATTTTTCTTACTTTGGTTGTCTGTGGACTCAATCTATGTAAATTAAATATAAGTGGTGATGTGATGCCGCTGTAAAACAGATCTGAACATGCAGGTGCTGGGGGCGAGGACAGCAGCAGCCCAGTGACGATATTTGAACAAAGGATGGAGTACAGGAAGTTTACAGGACACTTTTAGTTGACAGTGCCCTAGATCTAGGTTTACTTCCTGGTTATCCTCTTGCTAGCTGTCTGATAGCGGGCAAATTACTTAACTCTATTCCTCAAGTTTCTTATTCAAAAATTCTAACTCATGTCTTTGGTGAGAATTTAAATAAGGCAAGTAAGACTATCTGGCACTTAGTAAATACTAGGTTGGTGGAAAAGTAGTCGTGGCTTTTGCCATGATGGCAAAACAGAAATTACTTCTGCACCATACTAGCGTTCAAAAAATCCCTCTTGCTTCACCTCCATCTCTTTATGTACAGCTAGAGCATCTGGACATGAGAGTAACATTAAAAGGGGCCGTTGTTGCCAAATGATAGAAAGCCTTATAGTCCCAGCTAAAAACCAGAGTCTTCCCAAAACAAAATAACAATATGAGTTATGCAGGTAATTAAAATTTCCTAGTAGCCACATTGAAAAAAGTTGAAAAAGATGAAGCTAATTTTAATATTTTATCTAACCCAAATATATATAAAATATTTCAACATATTCAATATGAAAATTATTAATGAGATATTTTACATCCTTTGCTGTCATTCTACATTTTTGGAATCCATGTGTATTTTACACTTATACCACACATCTCAAGTCAACGGATTACATTTCGAACGCTCATAGTCTCATAAGGCTAGTGGCTACCGCACTGGACAGCTCGGCTCTAAGATAAGGGAGAACTACTCTAAGATTTAATCAGCAGCATTGGATGCTTTGTGAAGAGGAAGCTTCACAAAGCTTGGGATGGATTATAGGGGAGAAAGAGTGCAAGCCTAATGATTGGTTAAAAAGTTGCTAACATAGGTCGGCCTGGGTGGCTCACACCTGTAATCCAGCACTTTGGGAAACTGAGGTGGGTGGATCACCTGAGGTTAGGAGTTCAAGACCAGCCTGGCCAACATGGCAAAACCCCATTTCTACTAAAAAAAAATACAACAACTAGCCAGGTATGGTGACGGGCAACTGTAATCCCAACTACTTGGGAGGCTGAGGCAGGAGCATCACTTGAACCCAGTAGGCAGAGGCTGCAGTGAGCCGAGATCATGCCATTGCATTCCAGCCTAGGTAACAGAGTGAGACTCCATCTCAAAAAAAGAAAGAAAGAAAACAACAAAAAAACAAGCTGCTATCATAATCTAGTGGACAGCTAGCTATCCAGGGTCTGGGCAAGGATGACATTAGTGGGAAATGGCAAAGACATAGGAAGGGGAGAAACACTGAAATGAGAGTTCACAGGACTTGACTGACATCATGAGGAGGATAAAGGAGAGAAAATAGTTGAGGACGGGGGCCATTAGGCTGAATATAGTAAAGTAATTGGTTTTTCTCTAAATATCAAAACTAATTGTTCCCTACATTTGATAGTATATAGTTTCTAGTTAGCTTAGTTGGTTATACAAACACACTCTTGAGTTCCTTTCTTACAAATGAAAGAGAAACAAAAATACTGTATACTATTACTGTAACTAAAAAATTAGGTAGTCTCCATCTTCCTCAAAAAAAAAAAAAAAAAAAATCTGGGCCAGGCATGGTGGCTCATGCCTGTAATCACAGCATTTTGGGAAGCTGAGGCGGGCTGATAACCTGGTGTCAAGAGTTCGAGACCAGCCTGACCAACATGGAGAAAAAACCCCAACTCTACTAAAAATAGAAAAAACAAAAAACAAAAAATAGCCAGGCATGGTGGTGCATCCCAGCTGAGGCAGGAGAACTGCTTGAACCCAGGAGGTGGAGGATGCGGTGAGCCGAGATTGCACCATTGTACTCCAGCCTGGGCAACAAGAGCAAAACTCCATCTCAAAAAAAAAAAAAAATCTGGAGAAAGCTGTACAATATTCATCAAGAATTCATTGAAACTGTCTACTAGTCTGGTTGCTTCCCCAAGGCAGAGACCAAGTCTCATGCCTCTCTCTCCCCACTGCCTAAACAGGCAACCATATCACATGGGCCTCTGTATGCAACCAGGACAGGTTTGTTGATCTGAAATGAACTACAGAACAACCAAATTGAACAGTTTTCTTTTTGCTTTTAATTTTTATTTTTTCCCTCTGTTGCCTAGACTGGTCTTGAACTCCTGGCCACAAGCAATCCTCCCTCTTTGGCTTCCCGAAATGCTGGGATTACAGGCATGAGCCACAGTACTTGGCCAGTTTTTTTCCCCTTTGTATTACCGTGTATATCCACCCTTAAAACTGTGATTAAAAAATATCTAAGGAGCTCAAGTTATATTCTCTTATCAGTTTCCCCCTTAATTACAGATTTATTGCTATGTCAATAACATGTTGATATAAACTTGGTTTTCTCCATGAATTTTAGCCAGTTCCTGAAGTAACGTCCCTGAAGAATGTTAGGGAAGAGTAATAACACGGCAAAACTGCTTTGCTTTTGTTGCACTACAGAGATTATTTTAGAAATAGATGGAAAGAATCTCCAGATATGATTCTGGGAGTTACCTCCAAAGTACTCTTTAATCCATAAATATAATCAATCTCATTTTTCACAGCATTAAACTAAGTGTGATAAGAAAAGCTATACACAGGTTGAGCATGGTGGCTCATGCCTATAATCCCGGCACTTTGGGAGGCCGAGGCAGGAGGATCACCTGGGGTCAGGAGTTCAAGACCAGTCTGGCCAATGTGGAGAAACCCCATCTCTACTAAAAATACAAAAATTTAGCCGGGTGTGGTGGTGCATGCCTGTAATCCCAGCTACTCAGGAGGCTGGGACAGGAGAATCGCTTGAACCTGGGAGGCGGAGGCTGTGGTGAGCCGGAATTGTGCCACTGTCCTACAGCCTGGGCAACAAGAGCGAAATTCCATCTCAAAAAGAAAAAAAAGAAAGAGGAAAGCTACACACAGACAAACAGAAAAAATAAGTGAAAAAATGCTAATGCTAGTTTAGGTGTAGAGGCATACAGCAGTATAACAGGCAATTATGTTTTTGCTGTCACCATTCTAACCAAGAGACTCTAGGGGAGAAAAAGAAAATGAGAAGATATTTCCATCCCAAATTTCTAGAGACCGACTCAGGTATCTGGTGAACTGACAAAAATGTAATGGGATGAATTACACCTCATCTTTTCCATCATTTACCTAAAGATATTCCCAAGGCAAGCTCATGAGCAAGGTTCTCCCTGTGCCCCACCCTTGACCTCAATGAGAAAGGCTCTTTCTAGGATGCACATCCTTACCTCAGACAGTAGATGCTGAATCACAACTGTCAGTGCCTCAAACTTGGTATTACCACAGGCGAGAAGCTGCTTGAGGTGCAGGATAAATCCACTTTGGTTTTCACATTTTGTTTTATATTGCGCCAATTCAAGTGTTTTCTCAGAGGATAGCACATCGGGAGCCGTCTGTGTCTGGATGCATAAACTTCGGGGATTCTTTTGCCTGCCCTTTTCAACTGCAAAAGGAATTAACATAGGCACAAAGATAGGTGATGTTAATTTCTAAAATCACTACCACAAGGGTTCAGAAACAACCTGATAAGCCACGGGAATGCATTTAAGTTATGTTTCTGTAAGGAATGCATATGGATGAGAACTGGAATGAGTCAGAGATCTAGATGGTTGCAATTCACGAACACAGGCAGTGACTTCAGTTTGACTTTATAAGATTTACGCGGAACAGAGAATTAGGAACAGGACACAAATAGATTTGGCAACCCAGAAACACAAAAGCTGTGCGCGAAACGATGTTATTCTCCTAGTTTCTCATTTTCCGGTTAAATTGGTAGAGAAACCTGACTGATGAGAGGACTGACTTTTCTGATCTCACATGCTGAAGGAAACACACAAATCATTAGACTTAAAATTAAATGCCTTTCTCTCCTCCCATACATTTTCTACAAGTTTCTCATCTTTTCCCTGATGATGGCCTAGTCACTACACAGATTTATACTGCAGATGAGTCATTTCCCAATCTCTAATAAATCATAACATACATCAAAAATATACTCAGACTTTGCCTCTTTAAGTTCACTGTTATGAGTACTATACTCTTGACTATGCTATTCCATTTTCCGTCAAACACAAGCTTTGTTGGTCTTTTCTCCCAAGTAGTAATAACGGCTTAAATAAGTTTTCTGAAGCACATGCTAACACTCTAAATCCACTGAAATGCCCTGGTAAGTGATTCTTCCCTTCCTGTGCTATGATGCCCTGGAAATTATCCTGTTTTAAATAAAAAACTGTAGTCTTGGAACCATTCCAAATGTGTCAGTCACTTTGAGTATCAAACAGAATTGGAAAAACAGGAAATGAACTGCTTAGCTTCTTGAAATAAACAGCCAAGTAATCAAAACAAATCTAAATCTGAGAAAAGGATGCTAGAAACAAAAAAAAGTTTCTGTATTTTAACAGTCTTTCACTACGGCACCCACATTTTGTGGTAACAAACAAATCTTAGACACCTTTTAAAGAAATTCAATAATTATTTTTTCTAATTTTTTAGGAAGAGCAAACTACTACAGTGACCGCTTAAAGAAAAATATAGAAACATCAATACTCATGTTCTAAGAATAAATGGCAAAATATATTGAATAAACTCTAAGTTTTAAAACCAGAAAAAAAGGCTCTTATTTTCTATGGCTGCACTGCATGGTTAAATTACTCATATTTGTATTAATACTTGTTAATTCTCAGTTCTAAAATAATTAAAATATCACTTGTTCCACTGTGTCTTTGTAATACTTGACAAGAGGAAGTATTTATCCATTACTTTTTATTATTAGTAATTATTAGTAGCTTATCAGTAATTGTCACTTCCACAGATGTAGAAAATAGCCAAGTTAATATCATATTACAGTCCTGAAAAATGAATTATTAGTCACTTACTGCATTAAGGAAACAAAATCTAAATATTTGACCATGAGATTAGTATTCCTTTATGTCATTTCCTAAATATTTTTAGAAACTGTCCCATAACATATAATAATAATTACACAGTGTGTTACTGATCACAGTGTATTCTCACTTTCCTTCTCTTTTCATCCTCCCAATAACCCCAGATAGGGAAGAGGAGGCTTATGGGTGTGAAATGTCTTATCTGGGTGTAGACAACTTCTGTGGAAATCCAGATTCAAAGCCAGAACCCAGGCCTCTGATGCCAAGTCTCTGCTGCTCCCACACATTTCGGAAAGTGGATTAGGTGGTGATGTAATATATGACATGCATAAAAATATTTATGTAATAAATCTAATATCTTGCTTTAATACATTCAAGCCCATTATCTGATATTTTAACAAACCCACATATAAACACCTATGTGCTATATAATTTTATCAACAAAAAATTTTAAATTATTTGACTATCTAGAATTTACTGCAACAAATATAAACACAAGTTCATTCTCCTAAAATCATTTCTATATATCCTATCAAAACTTAGTTAAAAATTTATTTGATAGCTGCTTTATCATTTCCTGAGTCCTGAATAACACTGTTTCTCTTTCTAGAATTTCTATGCTAATCAAAAGTTATTTTTAACACAATTTCGGAGCTTTAAAACTATCAGTTTACAATTATTTACAAAATCTGATTGGTGAATCTTTTACATCAATATTTTAGAAAATATTATTTTAGATTCTTGCTTTTTGCTTATAAATCCACAACAAAAATATCACAGAATACATGTAATTGTACCAACAATGTTTACTTTTGAAGAGAAGGTAACAGGAATCAGATAGCTAAAAGGTGTACTGAAGCATTTTTTATACTTTTTAACCATGAGGTAAATATATTACCTATTCAAAAGTTAAATATAACAAGTAAATTACTTAAAAGATAAAGTGAAAATTGAGGACATACATTTTTTATGTAATACTTAGCTATCAAGAAAATAGCCTATGCAGAATTTTTTCCTTGGGGAAACTATACAGGAATATAAACATTATACAAAGTTAGTGATTACTCTCAACAGAATACTTTATGATTAGGGAGGAAAGAACACATTGACGTGTTCATCTAAGAGTATGTGTCTTCAAATTTTAAAATGACAGCAAATAAGCAAACAGACCGCCCTCTACGTGGATCTGGAAACTCAAGCTGTGCACTCAATCCTCCGCTCTATCTACTGTGCTCCCTAAGGATGAAGTGTGACCACATGGCACCGATGACCCAGTTTCCACGTCCTGCCCACTCCCCACACTCCTGGCTCAGCTGAAGCTCAGAGATGACGCAAAAATCTCCAATGATGCTCAGAGTCCCAAGGCTCATAAATAGGTACTTCACAGAACTGAAAAGCCAGGGGTTTCCCTGAAATCCTGCAGGATTCAATAGTTACACGAAATTGGCATAATAGCCAAACTTTGCCCTTAGCCCCGTTTATCAGCATGTTGCTGTTTTGGTAACAAACCTTTTACCTTTTATACAATAGTATAAAATACTTTATTTATTGTACCTATTAACAGAACATGTTCTGAATTCAAAGGACCTATTTAATCAGAAACCTTCAAATTAAATGTTAACTTCTGTATCGATTCAGATTTTTCTCAACAAGATAATTACCACCCTCAGCTGTGATCCAGCCTTGCTGGGAATCATTGTGATGAAAAGACAACCTCTATCAGGAAAACAAAGGCCAGAACCAAACACATTTGCTCACTTGGAAAACAGCTGGGTAACACTGCGGCTATCTTTGTTTTCTACTCAGAAACCTCAATTTAATAAAATTTAAAACTAATGCAATGAAGTAATGTATCATCTTCTTAAAGAAAGTAGTTGGTTAAAGAGGAAAATGCCCATTTCTCACTCAAGTCACTTAGACAAATAGACCTCCATATCTCAAAACCGAAAACAATTTTGAGAGAAAAACCTACGCATGAAGACATGGACTAACCATCACCACATACTAGCAGCTGAGGACACATCCATTCTAGCCCAAACAAGTCATGCATTTCCTGTATCTGCTGGCTCTCCCAATTATTAAAATCAAGTTAGAGACAAGACCTACTGAGGAAGTTTGCCTTAGGTTCTGTGAAACACTAAACACGGAATTCGAAAACTACCGTTGTCTACTTTTGTGTCCACTTCTTGACCTTCTCACTCACTCATGAAATATATTCATGAACATCTACCATGAGGGCGCTGCTGTGGTGGGTGTGCACCTGCCCTGGTGCTTTGGGGGATGGGAACGGTATCACCTAAGAGGGTGGCATTGCCCAGAGAGGTACAAACACACCAAAGACCTCTGCGGACTCATGCTTCCCTGGTGCTCATCTCGACTCCAAGTATCAACCTATCTGTAAAAAGGTGACAGTCACGGACTGGATGGTGTGTGCTTTCCAGAACATATTGCATTAAAAACTAATGTTTGTGGGTTGACAAAACATAGGTTATGAACTCAGAGGCTAGGGAAGGGTCTCTTCATCTCTTTTAGCAGTGTGGACAGACTGAAAATTCCCTTCTTTCTGCCCTATCTAATCCTACACATTTAAAAGCCCTCGTAAGGACTGCTACACACAAGTTCTTTCTGTCAGTGTTTCCCCAGCATCTGGTGGCAGGTGCTTATCCTGGGATATTTCAATAGAAACAAGCATTAAAATCAGAATTATTGGACATTGTTTTCTGGTAAGAGAGAGTACCCAGTATGAAATGATCACCCAGATGACTACTGCTCAACCTGTAAACATCTACGGGATGCCTTCTTCACAGACTGGTATTTGCTCTCAAGAAACGGTGTGGTTGAGACAGCCACATGCCATCCATGATGGCAAAATGATTTGACAATTATCTGCTAAAGTCATGTGTACAGTGTGTGGGAGTACAGCAGAGAAACACCTAGATCTACGGCAGTCAAGAAAGGGTTCCCAGGGCAGTCTGGATGGACATTTGCACTTCTGGCAGAGAGAAGCAGAGGACAGGCAAAGGAAGGGCACTGCAGGGAGATGAAGCCAGCAAACACAGAGGTAAAACAGGGCAAGAGTCCCAGAAGACCTGCTGTCAGCACAGCCAGTACTCCCAAAGCTAAAGTCAAATGCAGCCATGGAAACCAACAGGTGTGAGAGCATGCACACCACGGAAGGTTTTATTTTGGAGCAGGCAGAGAAGAGCCTGAGCGAGGGCCTGGAGCCACAGTACAGGAGGCTCAGCAGAGCAAGACCCAGAGCAGAGAGGACAGGAAGGAGATCCTGGAAGAGAAACTCCTGGGCAGTGAGAACAGGCAGGGAAAGAGGAATGTGCACAGGGGGCCTCAGTGGCCACCTGGATCCAGGGACATCCAGGATAAGTCCCAGGTTTCCAGCACCTTCCTCATCATATCAAGGGAAGAAGATGTGTGTGTGAGAATGAGGTGAGGGCAGAGAGGGAGGAAGAGTTTGGGGAGGGATGTGTTGAGGAAGGTGTTAGGCCATTCTCGAACACTCTACTTTTGATTCTCTAAAAACAGCCTTTTCTAAACTCACCTG